ACTCTGGTTGTTTCAAGTATGAAAAGAAACGAAATATATATTTTTATTTATGTATATACACGCACATACGTTTTATTTGAACAAAAGATACAAGTATAGAAATATATTTTATTGTTGAATTTCACTAGAAATTGTTAGATGTTTCGTCTAATTCTATAATGTTATTTTAAATGATTTTAGAATGATCTTGAGTCTTTTTAAATTTGTTCTAAACACAGATCTTTCATCGATATCGATAAGATATTGTAATTTAGTAAAGCACCGCTTAGCCTTGAAAAAAATCATCGTCTCGGACTTGAAAAGTTACAAATTAACGTACAAATGAATCTGTTGCTTTTCAACTGTACATTGAACATGTTATTATCATTTTATTATGACATGTAACTACGGTGTATATACCGATTGATTTTAAATGTACAGGGAATGCTATCCAAAGAATGTATTATAAATTGTACGAAAAGTGCGACATAATTTTTTACGATATATATGGATTTTTGACCGTTGAAATGAGATTTTAAAAAGAAAAGGAAAAAAAAAGAAGAATTACAAGATTGTATAAAAACTATGTGGCGTTAATGGTAACGTTGAAAGTAATTAATTGCATTCCTTGCGTGGTACGATGCAATGAAACGCAAATAGGAATGCAAATTCACTTTACGATTCGTTAAATCGACGCATTTATTTGGTCGGATAGTGACAGTTTGTCCCAAAAGTCCAGTAAAGAATTCTGCGATATTTGTTACATCGTATGTGCATTTAGTATAGCACATTACGTTAAAAGTTGTAAAATAAAAGACTTACAAACCCAGCTATCATATGCTATACTACAATGTATTAAAAATTTATTTTTAACAGACACCGCATCGTGATTTATGATTTATTTGTACATATACTTAAGTACTGTGAATAAAACATATTCGTAGTATTGAAACGATTATGATAAATTTCTACTCCTATAGACGCATACAAACGCACATATATATGATGTACATAGAATTTTCTTAATTTCTTGAAACGTATGTAAAAGATGCGCCAGGTTATATTATCAATAAGTTATTACAAATAAACACGAATCAAAAATGAGACAAAAAAAAAAAGATGATGTGCAGTCGAATATTTGTGGTATAACAATTGTCAACTGTTAGAGATGTTACCAGATGTTCAACCGTCGATTACCCACAAAACGTTTATGCCCGACGTACCCAAATTAACGCGACCCAACATACCATGATCTCTCGTTTTAACGATGTATAGAAATAACAGAAGCGTATGAAATAAGTTGTTTCTACCCTAGAAATAAAGAAGCAATTAGTTTCAATTTGCAAGTACTATACCAAGTACAAATGAAGTAAAAATTACGATAAAAATTTCATTGAATCACTTACACGTTGTACTTCTTCGTAATCGCTAGGTAATGAATCTCCAGAATGTGCTAGACTGTAATGCGGTGGATTTATAGACTGACATACTATTACAGGACCTTTGCTACGTGGTAAAGTCATTCCTGATCTAGCCATGTATCTTGATGTAAATGGTCGCGCATCGGGTTGATCTAAAGGGGCTTCCAATTGTGTATCCATATATGTTGATATCAAATGCATAATTATCTATGGAAAGGAAAAAAATGTAGATACATACCGTCGATATGTGTTTGAATGATATTTTAAAGAATTTAATTACCGCTGAATCAGTTGGCAAACTGGAATCCCATTCTTTACCATTGTGAGATCCTCCACCATTCCACTTGAACTCGCTCATTGAACCTCCTTTTGCAAGAATTTTGATTCTCTTAATTAAATATTCCTGGTTATTAGAAAGTTCTAAAAAAGGTACCAAAGTTGGTAAAGTAGGAATAGCAAATACTAAAAATGGTGCTTGTGCAAGTTTTCTCAATCTATGCAATCCAACACATCCTAATTGGGAATCACTTAAACCATGACGAACCAATGCCAAACAAACATTGTCGATTTCAGTTGCTACACGTTCGATAACTGTTTTACTAATCCACTG